ATGCAGAGGCAGGGAGGCAGAGGTGAGTTTTTGTAGATTTAATGTGTGGTAAACAAACAACTAAGGCAGGAATCCTAAAAAATAAAAAAAATCCAACAAGAAAAAAGTTAAACAAACCAGAAACCATGGGAACATCAGGTAAAAAACAAAGAGGTAAGACATTGTAAGACAGTGTACGTCAAAGTTTGACGAGGAACCAGCATTGAAGAACTGCACAAAGAGTGTTTTATGGGAGACTGAACAAAGAGAGGACTAACGAGCAGATTGGGAGCAGGTGTTAACAGAGCAGACAGGAAAGGGAAAATGGAGAACACAAGAGGGCAGCAGAGGGCAACAAATAAAAACCTGAAAACTGAAAAATAACCAGAAAACTGTGACACAAACAGGACACTGGATTAGAGAGAGGGGGAAAACATGCACCAAACTGAGCTACTGAGGTGTCAGTCTACTTATCAAACGATGTTTAGGTCGTAAAGAGTCAAATAAATAAAGATATTTTTAAGTAAAATCTTAAAAAATGTCTCCAAATGTTAATTGCATTTTTTTTCTATTTATTATCTCTTTTAACTAATTTCCTTAGTTTTAGTTAATGATGAGAACCTTGGTTTAAATTGAGTTGGCAGGGTGTTTTTACATGAAGGCTACAAAGTTAATTTTTTTGCTTCCATGTGTTCTTTACATCTTGTGACCAACGGCAAACAGGGCTTCTCGTGGCTGTCTTTCAACATCAACTTCCTTCTTTCCATTCTTCTACAGAGCTAATATTTCTCTGTCCTCATGGTGCTGTTAGCCAATATTCATTAGATACCCTCTGAGGCTTTTACAGAAGAGCTGGGTTTATTCAGTGGCTAGATCAGACACATGTTGACTCCATCTACTAATTAAGGGTCTTCTGAAGCCAATTGGTTTCACTTTATTTTAAATTTAGGGGTTTCAGAGAAAAGGGGAGCTGAGTACAAAGGTAGACTACACTTCGCAGATTTTATTTAAAGCATTTTCCTCCACTCTAGAATGATGCACTTACTTGTTTGCAGAGCTGATATCTCAATAAATCTCATTAAAATTTGTTATAAAGATATTTTAAACCCACCGGGTAAGCCGATAGGTCTCCGAAACGTCCCTGGCTGTTCAGCACAAATGGACTGAACTATATTGTTCCTACTAGTGCCTCTCTGCTTCATCTCCACCCACTTACCTGGAAAGCATAACTTAGGTTCTAAGGTTCTCCAATAGCATATTCCCCAGAGAGATGGGCCATGAAACTAGAAATAAGCGGTGCTATTGTTTAACAGGTTGGGGGATATCTTCGGTTGAGGATAGATGATGGTAATTTGTATGGCAAAATATACAGTTAATCTGACTGGTCTTCAGTCAGCCTTACCTTTAATTTAGACCACTGCCTGAGGTAAACCATTATTTCTTCTGGCTCCTCTTGGTTGCAAGCACACATTAATCCCTGTATGTATGTGTGTGTGTGTGACGTCCCACAGGGGCTCCATCCAGGGTGGATGCTTGAACAAATGATCCTCGGGGAGTTTCACTGACAGCCAAGTTCTCTGCACAGTTAAAACATGCCCTAATCCCAACACACAGACACACACATGCACAGTTAGCTATTGTTGCAGCTGTCTGCAGAGAGTGAAGCATTTTGGTTCTGGGTGAGCTCCAAGTGCATATCCTGTCAGCTGAGACAGTGTCATTCAGCCTGTCCAAGTCAGCTAGAGGAATCTGTCTACGCCAGCAACTAACTAGCTTAGATTGTCCTTCAGCGCCCCTGACAGCAAACAAGAAGAGCTGTTTTGGTTTGGACTTTTAGTTACTCTTATATCATTATTGATCAGGAGTCATGCAGTCTTGGGTTTCTTTCCTGATAAAAGTAAAATGCAGTCATTGCTCCAAAAGTCCTACAGTTTAAAGTTTCAACTAATTTACAGTCATTATTTATATTACTATGATAAAAAAAAAGTGTATAAATGTGATTTCTATTTATCCATTGAGTGTGAGAAATACTTAAGAAGGGAGAAAATACTGACTTAAGGTTAAACTGTAGGTAAGAGATAAAAGACAGTTTGCTGCTCAAATGCAACTTTTATCACTATTAGATAATAGTCTGCTGCCATCTTGTGGCGAAATTCAAGGTTCACTAGCAGTTTGTCATCAGGTTGAAAACTTTTAGGCTGAATTCATACTTAACTTTCTAATTTGTTAGGATTGAATGATTTATGGTTTTTATTTATATAGTAATACATCATTTTCTCGTTGCAGGGAATATCGATTGGATTAATCTGTATTACAACAGATTAAGAAGCAGTTTTATCCCTAATGTAAAGCAGGATATTTTGGATAATATCAGAAAACAATAGAGAGAATTACATATGATTGATTAATTACATTTATATAATTGAATTTTATTTTTAAAGGGTTTGTTCCATTTAAATGGTAATTAGATTTTTATCCTTGAAAACATCAATGAAAAAGGAATTTATTTGACATTTGTTTTAAAATACAAAATGTTGAATTAAAATACCAGCACGGTTTTTCTTTTGTTCAGGTTCTAAAGCAAATCAATACAAATTTAAACACTTCTAATAGGAATTCATTCAAATAGCAAAACTAAACAATTAATTATACACTCATTGTTGTCGTCTTTCCTTTTAAAGGGAATAGATCCAGTACATTAGAGGACTTTAGCCAGAAGTGCATATCCATCACTATAACTGTGTGTACAGAAAAATGTTTTGCAAATTGGAAATTTGCAGAAAAATATATAAATATACATCTTTTTTAATACATAATCTAATTTTACCCCATCATAGTTAGCCTCTCTGTGAAACATCAGCCACTTTAAATAGATCACTACAAATTTTATCATTAAAATGATGTCCAGAAGCAATGAAAAACATAAATCAGGGACTTTTTGGAGACAAACCAAAACATCAATCTTAACTGTTTGATTTAATATTTGAAAGTAAAACATTTCAGGGTGTGGAAAAAATAGTTTTAAACATACTAATCATGGAAACTTCTGGAGGCGTAGATCAAATTGATCTTTTGGTCATAACTGGCCTGCAAACCACATTTTGGGCACTCATGCTGTGTTCCACTCACAACATGGCGGAACTATTGACGTACGTGTCGTTCACGTAATTCTATGACTTGTGTTTTGATTACACAAACGCTAACTGCTTTTAGACCCTCGGTGGTTGCCGTCGATGTTTTGAGAAGGTAGTCGTCGGGGAAGTTTTAAGGTAAAAAAGAGCAAAAAACTTGTGTAATGCAACCGTTTAGACACAGACTTCGTTTAAATTATGTTAGGCAAGATTGTTTGTATTTTCTGGGGCTTTTAACGTTGAAGTGGGCAAATGTCAAAACAAATTACCTGTTAAATGGCTAACCGCTGCTAACAGCTACATAGCTAGCCGTGAGGGTTTTTAGCTACTTTTAGTATATTTTTAAGATGACCAATTTTTTGAAAGTTATAACTACTTTTAATGTATTTTTAGATAATCGTTTTAGTTACTAGTGGCATTCCTTTGACTTTAAATTTCCCTTATATCTGACGTACTCTTTGTTGTTGCATCATGCTTCGCTGATGTTGCTAGTTAGCTCTGTTAGCACGGTGAAGGTGATGTCAATCTCATCCCGTGGGATTGCTCATAACTTATTTTTATAAATATATGTTTTTATTCTAACCAACAGGTTGTAAGGTGAAGGCGGTGCGTCACAATGTCAAGCAGTGTAAGTAACTTATTTTCACCTTGAATATCTGAATTTGGTTTGTTAATTGTGCTAATCTAAGAACCCAATAAGCATTTTTAATAAGAAACATCTTTTTCTAATTGCATGTTAAGGTATGTTATGTCCTCCACTTTAAACATGAAAAGTTCCGAGATTATGGGCTTTTTATTTTGCAAATCTTTAACGATTTGATGACTTAGACAAACTTCATTGTCATTTTGTTTACACTGAGTGTCTACAAAACAGAATGAATTTGCTTACAACAGTGTAACTATCATTACTATTATAAAGTGCAACAATGATCAGCAAGTAAACTGAATCGGAGAAAAAGGAAAACTAGTTTAATAAAATAATGGCGCAAAAGGGCATTTATATGGTACAAGTATTAGGGCCAGGCTACAGAAATTTTTTTTATTTTCATTTCCAGAATAAAGTCGTAATATTATGAGAATAAAGTCAAAATATGATGATAATGATGTCGTAATATTATGAGGATAAAGTCCTGATATTATGAGAATAAAGTTATGTTATTACGAGCATAAAGTCGCAATATTAAGAGATTAAAGTTGCAATATTACGAGAAAAAAGTCGCAATTTTATGACAATAAAGTTGCAATATTATGAGAATAAAGTCGTAATATTATGAGAATAAAGTCGCAATATTATGAGAATAAAGTCGTAATATTATAAGTATAAAGTCGCAATATCAAGAGAATAAAGTCGTGATATTGAGAGAATAAAGTCGATATTAAGAGAATAAAGTCGCAATATAACGAGAATAAAGTCACAGTATAACGAGAATGAAGTCGCAATATTATGAGAATATAGTCGCAATATTACGAGAATATAGTCGCAATGTTACGAGAATATAGTCGCAATATTACTAGAATAAAGTCGCAATATAACGAGAATAAAGTCACAGTATAACGAGAATAAAGTCGCAATATTACGAGAATAAAGTCGCAATATTACGAGAATATAGTCGCAATATTACTAGAATATAGTCGCAATGTTACGAGAATATAGTCGCAATGTTACGAGAATAAAGTTGTAATATTACCAGATTAAAGTCGTAATATTATTCTTGTAATATTACGAGAATAAAGTCGTAATATTAAGAGAATAAAGTCGTAATATTATGAGAATAAAGTCTCAATATCACAAAAATAAAGTCTCAATATTAAGAGAACAAATAACAATAACAAATATTTAGTCTCAAGCTGTAGACTGTAGAGCAGAGTTTGAGGTTTATGTTGCTAAATATGGGCCTTGTTCCGCTGCAGGTGCTGTGTGGTCGAAGGTTGGTCCTGTCTCCGACTGGTGGCCGACAGGCTTTAACTTCTCTCAGGGTTGGAAGAAGCAGAGCATTCTCAGCTGCCAGCCCTGATGAGCCGTACATCGCAGTGTCACCTGCAGACTCAGGTGAGACATGAATGCAAGCAGTCATCCAATAATTACATCTGAAGGGACCTTCAAGGGCCATAATTGTTCCTTTTTTGTTTGTTGACGCTTATGGAGCAATTGTATCCAACACAAAGGTATACTGAAGGTTTTTCATAAATTTTTAAAAGACCTGCCCTCTCCACTTTTAAAAATAAAAATGCACATGCACAAACCTGTACCTGCTTCCAAGAGGGAACGCCCATTAAATGAAAATGGGGACGAGCACATAGGACATAAACATATCATCAGAATGATTGACAATTAGGAGGACCACTTATTTTTGATGATCCAGCTGGAAAAAGAACATCCTCCACTATACCTTTAACTGATAATACTAAATCTAGTTTTTATTGATGATTGGAGTCAGTGTAATGCTTTAAATGGAGATCCCTTCTAATCAGCCTCATTATTTCAGAAAGCAGAGGGCTTTGATCAAAACAGTTTGTAACGCGGATCACATTGAAAAAGCAAAAAAGAAAAACCCTGTAAAAAATATATATAAGCCCACAGCATGATGTTCTCAGGTTTCCCGGAGGATATGTCAGTTTGTTGGTCATACTTAGTGATCCCAGTTGTGGCCCAGCAGTTCAAGTCTGTTTTTATCATTCATTAATACTTTCAGAGGTTGAAAACAGTCCTGGATGTTTTATTTCTATTTAGTGATCAATGAATCAGTCCAAGCGTTTTAAATATTTTATTTGTTCTGTAGGTTAAATCAAATTTGGAGCAAACCTGTCTGAGCAGGTTCCATCTTTTCCTTTTGAAGAAACCGACAACTGTGTTTTCATTGTCAGTTACTGTTTTTTTTTTTTTTTTTTTTGAGAAGTTTCTTTACTATAATGTGGTTTATATAAAATACTTCTTTTGTCAGATACCTTAGAAAAGCTCATCCCCTTATAGCTTTAGCTAAAAGGTTTCATTGTGATGCTATTTTATATCATAACACGTTTTATATCCCCTGTGCAAATGGAGTCAAATATGCTGTCAGAGACAGACTGGATTCTACTCTAGAACATGATGTTTTAATTCAATTCAATGCAGTTTATTTATATAGCGCAATTCACAACACTTTTCATCTCAAGGCTCTTTACAGTTCACCAGATCATCCAGTCAAATTGATCCAAAGTTTTCTATCTAAGGAAAACCAGTTGATTTCATCGACTCATTGATTCAAATGCAACCCCTCGTACTAAGGATGCTTATAGCGACAGTGGAGAGGAAAAACTCCCTTTTAACAGGAAGAAACCTCCAGTACAACCAGGCTCAGTGTGAACGCCGACTGGGGTTCAAGGGGATAGAAGCAGAGATACAAAATAAAGTGTAAAAGGCGGCCCCGTCCAGGAAACACACAGCCAGGCAGACGAGCTCCAAGGCAGCTCTCATGTCAGAGGATGAAGAGAGTACATCCAGCCAGCCACAGCCAGAGAAACGGGACTGCACTGGAAAAACAGGCCGATCTCCAACATCTATAAACAAGGGTGTTGATGTCAGCAGCACAGCTGATATTTCTCTCCAGGATGGAGTCACAGCCACACAGGAACAGACGCGGTGAAGCTACTATGAGAAAAAGCAGAGAGAGATGAACGTTAGAGATTGAACTAACAGATTCTGCAGAGTGGGAGAATAGAGATAGAGTGAATCAGAATGATGAAAAAAGGGTCCCTATGTCCTCCAGTAGTCTAAGCCTATAGCAGCATAACTATAGAGATAGCTCAGGATAACCTGAGCCACTCCAACTATAAGATTTATCAAAAAGAAAAGTTTTAAGCCTACCCTTAAAAGTAAACAGGGTGTCTGCCGCATGGACTAAAACTGGTAGTTGGTTCCACAGGAGAGGAGCCTGATAACTAAAAGATCTGCCTCCCATTCTACTTTTAGAAATACTAGGAACCACTAGTAAACCTGCAGATTGAGAGCAAATTTAGGCTGAATAATCCTCGATTTGTGATTCTGTGTCTACAGGTCCCAGGACTGTGTGGCCAGATGAGAACATGGGACCGTTTGGACCTCAGGACCAGCGCTTCCAGTTGCCGGGTAACGCAGGGTTTGACTGCCACCTGGAGGGAATGGGAAACCAAAAGAAGGCTCCGGTTAACAGGACGGTGCCTGATGTACTGACGACTCCAAACAGCACAGAAAGACATCACTTCATACTGGCCCAGTTTGTCAACGAGTTCCATGTAAACGCTTTTTTTTTTTTTTTTTTTAACCATACTGTTAAATATGCTACTTTGCATGAAGCCTGATTTAATATATGTATTTATAAAAAGCATAGTTTTAAAATGCTGAAGTCCAGTTTTCTTTTCTTCACCGATAACAATGTTTTTTTGATCAACAGGGGAAATTAGGGCCTTTATCCACAAGAGTTCACAAAGCTGAGCAATACTTTAACCAGACAGACACAGATTGTTCTATCAGTTCCTGCCCTGAGCTGTTAAGGAAAGGTAAGACGTTAAGGCGCTTCCTTGTTTACAGCTTCACTTGCCTTCAATAACCAAAGTATCCGTCTCAGAACTGGAGCTGATGTTCCCCTCGGCGCCCACGGCCTCCATCACAGTCGTGACTGTAACACAGAGGACCAATCAGAGGAACGAGGCGTCAGCAGAGCCGGACAAAGACCAGCTGCTTCATAAGGTGAGCCTGCATCTCGCCTATTGTTTGCTTTATGGGGAATAAAGCAGCAGCTGTAACCCGTTTATATGTCCTCGCTGCAGTTTGTGAGCGGAGCTAAGGAGATGTGTTTCGCCCTGTGGACGGCAGGATACTGGGCCGACTTTATTAACCCAGCAACAGGAGAGGCTGTAAGTGGTTTTCCTTTTTTTTTTTATTGCGGTTACATCAGCACATACAACCTATAATAGTTGAGTGAAACAAAGTAGTGCAGGTCATTTCTAGCAGATGTTCCAACTGAATATTAAACGCACAAGTTAAAATTAGCAGCACCTGTTTTAATGTTTAATTACCATACGTAAGAGAATATGCAGAGAGGGGATTGTCAGGAAAGAGATGGCTGTTTGGGGACACTTACCTTTTTGTCCTCCTATTCTTTACACAGCAGTCCTGCCCTTCGAAATCTGTTGGTTTTCAGGGATGTTTTGACACTCCTCCACGCTGTCAGAATCCCCTGGCAGACTTGGCCAAAACGTGGTTTTTGCATGCGACCAGTTTTGATGAATTAATAATCGTCTCTCGTCATCTACGCCTCCCACTGAACGCTTAGTGTTACTTTAAAGCACAAGTCACACTGAAATCAAGTGGCTGCAGTCGCTTCTTTTTAGCATTAAATCGTAAAGCACTACTTTGCCTGGCACACAGTAGGGGTGGGTATTGGCAAAGAAGTCATGATTCGATTTGAATCATGATTCACATGCCACGATGCGATTCTATCACGATGCATCACGATACTTGAAATATTGCGATGCATTGCGATATTTTCACTGAACACTGTAAGAAAAAGATACAGCCATTACCAGTGGCTGACCGGCTGAGTATGATCTGGATCATGTCTTCAATTGATCCATAACTGAAAGCAACTGAATTCATACATAGCTGTATTTATTGAAACGATTTTTGGAGGTGTTGCCATGAAAACAAATACTGGACAGAAATATTACTATTACTGGTTATCAAACTTAAAATAACAAAATAAGGATAATCAGTGCTGTTTATATGGCCTCAGTGGTCCTTTAAACCAATGAAATGAAAACATTCAAATGTATATTTCCCCTTTTGCAAATTACGTGCGTCATATGAATTTCATTTTTACCTTCTTTGTTTTTAAAGCCAAAATGCATCCAAGCATCTGACTTGAAATGTGATGGAACCGTGGGGCGAATTTTCTCAGTCTCCTCCATATTTTGTTTACGAATGACTCGTCTCAGTATCCCGCGGCCGGACATGCTTGTGACACAAAGTAGCAGGCCTCAACACATCCGTAGCGACATCTGCTGGACTGGAAGTTGTATTCCACTTGATTTGGCTGATGTGCGCCAACCATTAATGTATTTTATTTGTTCTTTTTTTCTTTTTATAATCGATTCTTGCCTTCAAGAATCGATGCAGTAGATCACAAAAATTAGAATCACGATGCATCGTCATGACGATTATTTTGCACACCCTTAGCGGACAGACATGTAACCAACATAGCATTTTTCCATGGATACTTTGTCTGATCACATGCCTTCCGCCAGGAAAAGTAGTGCCGTACAACAGCAGAACAAACCAAAAACAAATCTTCCTACTAGCCGTATCGGACAATGAGGAAGCAGGGGTTCAAAGCTTGTAAAAAAAGTTGTGACTTATTGTCCAAAAATTACGGTACAAAAAAAGTTTTAATATTCATCTGTTGTTTTACGTTCATTAATAAGTTTCTCCATTTATTCATTCATACATCTCCTTAATTTCACATTGCTTATGTAAAACCTCATCCTTTGTTAAACTTAAATAAATATCCACAGTAATTTCATTTTAAACTTTTGTGCTTCCAATACAATAAAAATATAGGGAAATGTATTCTCTAGAAACTTCAGGTTTTTTCTTCAGCTCTAAATCTAGAAATTTAGCAAAAAGGAAACTCTAATCTGTCTCTTTGAGATCTGTAACGATATAAATTGGTTCTCCTGCAGTTCTTTGCGTCTCCCTCAAGTGTGGCGGCGCTGAGTCCAGAGGAGCAGCTCAGACATCTGGGCTTCCACATCGAAGTGTCGGGCTCCTGCACTGTCATTCGCCACATCCTCAGGGGGACACCTTTATTCGTTGGGACCGTTTTCACCAACGCACCTACTAACAGTGCTGCTATTACCAGACTCCAAGGACTATCAAATGCATTCGATGATGAGGAATAGGCTTATTTTTTTTATATTTTACACCAGAAAATCTGCACAGAATGCCTGTAATTGTTGTCAGATGTTTGATTTTGCTAGTTTGTGTTAAAACCTTGTCTGACTGGAACATGTAAGGACATCCCTATGCTAATAGGACCCCCCCCTCACAAATCTGTTATGTCCTTCACTACATCCAGGGTGATTCACACTCAGCAAAGCATCAACTTTGCAATATTTTCAGCCTGTAGAAAGTGTTAATATTTTAAGAGATTAATATTTGTATTTATGAAATAATCTTTTCCAGGTGATAATAACTTGCAGAAACAGTACAAGGTTTAAAACCACCAGAAAGTTTTGGCTGGAACAATATCAGGTCATCAAGACATTTTACAACAACGTGGACTACTGTTGCTTCTAGCAAACACAACTTCTATTGACGTACCACACTGCAAATAAAATGGGTTCTCTTCAGGATGCAGTCACCTTGTGTTTGTTTTTTGTGATCCAAAGATGTATTACTCAACAAAACGGGGAAAATAAAATTTAACCTTCCCTATTTTCTAAGTTTAGTTTCCTAACTAAGATACAGGAGTTAGAAATAGTTTTGATGGATTTGAAGTATTTGATTCCCACACAGCCCAAGCATAATGCTTCCATCTATGTGCCTGACTGTGGAAAGTCTTCCTGCTCAGTTTCTGCAGGGGCGTAAAAAAATATTAAGCTATGGAGGACCAACTGTGCCATATTTAAAAAGAAATACAGAAATAAATAAATGCGCAATAAATAAATAATCATACAATTAATTGCCACCAAAAATACAATAAACAAATAAATGTACGTAGAAATTCAATTATACAGTGAGACATAAATGTATATAACTCTTTTAATTAGCTTCTTTATTTTCCTTTGTAATATTTACCTTATTTATTTTTTTGTCCTTTATAATCTTCAACTTTATTTTTGAATTACTTATATTTTTAAGTATTTATGTGCATGTTATAATATTTTAAGAAGGCAGAAATGTAAAAAGAGCAGGCAGAAATAAATGGCAGCGAAGAAATAACTAGGGTAAAAAAATACATAGGAAGAATAAAACAGACAAAAATATTATAACATGCACATAAATAAATAATTAAAAATATAGGTAAAGAAAAAATTAAGTTGAAGTTTATAAAGGACAAAAAAATAGATAAGTTAAATATTACAAAGGCAAATAAAGAAGCTAATTAAAAGAGTTATATACATTTATGTCTCACTGTATAGTTTAATTTCTACTGTATTTTTGGTGGCAATTAATTGTATGCATATTTATTTATTGAGCATTTATTTATGTATTTATTTTTAAATATGGCACAGTTGGTCCTCCATATTAATCAGGTCATCTCAGTTTAAATCATGAAAAAAGTCTTAAATATGTCTAAAGTTTTCATCTGACATTAAACTTCTTTCAAAGATCTTCAATTGTTTTAACTTATGCCTGAAATTTAGCTTATTTTTTAACTGCATGACATTTGGGAAGTCCTACAAACCTGCTAGAGAATTCTGTTTATCTGTGTTTAAAAGTAATTATAATGAAAGGGAACCTTGTTAAATACTGACCATTAATGAGGTTATTAAGTTGGTCAATAAATGAGAGATTAGAAATGTGGTCTAAATGAAGCATTAGACATCATGTAACTAAAGACAATCCTAAATTGCTCTAAAATTATAGCTAAAGTAGTTGTTTTTTTTATTTTCAAGAACTTGGACACGAACTGAACTCCTTGCCCTGCTCTTATGTTGCTTTTCCAAAATCGGTAAAAGTTTCGCCCCATTACAGCCAAATACCTCAATGTATGTCATTGGGATTTTATATTATTAACCGAAAATAGTAAACAAGTGAAAATCCTGATTTAATAAACTTTTCTTGGATTTTCTGTCAAATGGGGGAAGCAAGTGTGTTTGGCCCCCTTTAGTTTAATACCAATGAAATTAACCTCCAACCTGATCACACCATTATTAAGTTAAGTTTGGAAAGAAAACAAATCCGTAAAAAAATGAAGCTCTCCTCTGTGCATCATAAAATCCAAACATATTGCCTTGAAAAGTAAATTTTTACTTTATAAATTGAGCTAAACTTCCCTGGACAGCTTGGTAAAATGCCATACAAAAAACATTTACAGGTAATTTCATTAAAAAAAATTGAAGTGTTACAGTTTTAAATAACAAAAAGAGTAAAAACTGAGTCTTGTAAACTTAAAGAGTTGAATTATTTGACTCTTAAACATGTCCAGCAGCTGCTGATGATGACGAGGGGGAATAAATGCAGCACAGCAGGAAGCAGCCTGCCCCCCGAGCTGCCCAGAGGAGTGGCGAAGGAGAACATTGCGCTGCTGTCATTCCTGGGTACCAGCACATTGCAGATGTTTCCCTCGCAGCACGACGTGCACACCTGTCGGAGGAGAGGGAATCATCTGCAAAGCTGACAAACCGTAGAAAAGGCATCTGAATCAATCTTTCCACACCTACCTGGAAGCCATTATGGGTGATGTTGATGCAGCCAGTGAAGCGGCAGTTCTCTAAGGTGGAGCAACGCTTAGTCACAGAAACGCTGTCTCCATGGTTATCCATCATGTGGAGCGTGTAGCAGTAGCCGGTATCTGAAGGGAAACTCCTCTGATTAGTAATCTGATCAGCAGAAACGCATGATTTAAAAGAAAAAAAGTAAACCTTTACCTTTTGGACAGTAAACATCTGGGGCCCAGCGGTTGCACTCGTAGTTATCTGCAGCGTCTTGACATGTAAAACACTTGAAGCCGCCGGGGTGAGGAGTGGCTAAGGGGACGCAGACATAACCGAATCATGATTACATGACTTTTCAGCTCATTTTAGCATGAATGTTGAGGTAAAAAGCATCCGGTACACATAAAACATTTTGCTAGCTTATATATATTTCCTTGCAAATGTTTCTGTTTTAGTTTTAAAATTTAAAATGCATGAATGGATTTTTTTTTTTAACGGTTATCAGTTATGACCATGGGTGGTTCTAGACGGGGGCCAACAGGGGCCAGTACCCCTGTAGATCATGTCCTGGCCCTTGTACTGAAGTTCTTTTACATAAAAGAAATTCTAATGATGATTTGCGCTGGAACAGACATGGATACTGATAGGTCCTTTGGATCTATTTCATTTTTTTTCTTTACAAATTATGTTTTACTAATTATTTAAAAACAATTAGGTGATAGCTTCAGTGGTATTGCGATAGAATTCCAGTTTTCATCTGCTATATGTTTTTTTTTTTCAAAACAAAAAAAATGCTCTATTTTTTACAGCTGATTAATAAGTTTTTCTTGAGTTCTAATTCAGATTTTATAGAAAATAGTAATTTAACTTAAGTGAAAAATATGTAAAATTCCTAAATTATTAATATATATTGACCTCATAAGGAATATAATTTTTATTAAACCTAATTGAATAGAAATTTCACTCCATGCAGCTCTCTTAAGGTATTGAGATAGGATCCCAGTTTCTATCTGCTAAATGTTTTTTTATTTCAAAACAAATTTGAAAAAATTTATACAGCTGAATTTATCAGTTTTTCTTGAGTTCTAATTCAGATTTTATAGAAAACTGTAATTTTAACTTAAATTTAGTGAAAAATATGTACAATTCTTAAATTATGAATGTATATTGACCTCATAAGTAATAGAATTTTTATTAAACCTAATTGAATAGAAATTTCACTTCATGCAACTCTCTCTTAATATATTTGAATCCCTTGCCGTTTTTTATTTCATGCTTTTCTGTGCCCCCATGAAAACACCCTGGCCCCCTCCTGGCCCCCTGGTACTTTTAGTCTAGAACCGCCACTGGTTATCACATTTGAACTCCTTCATGTCGCATTAGAACCACAACTTTTAAATAATTTTATTGCCTTATACGACAGACAAAAAAAACAGCTAGTGCTTAAGAAGAAGTAAATAAATTATGGTTTTCTAAATAAAAACTTTAACAATAAAATACAAATACAAACCACACACCCTGTTTACCAATAATGAGACCTTTGAGGACTATTGGTTATGCTGGATTTCATTTCACTTGGGTGTTTCATAGAAAAACGAACTGGCACATAATGCAAGCCACATTTTAATGTTTTGATTAACATAAACAGCTTGAAACCCATTTCATAAACCCACTACTCTGTTTTGTTTTATGGCATAAAATCACAATAAAATGCATTAATTTGTATTTCAGACTGAAAGGTTCAGGTAATAAAGGCATTGTTGTAAAGTCAGGATTTTTATAGAGAGTTTACCTCCTGGTCTGTTTGGTGCCTGGAGTTTTGTTCTGTTTACAGATGTGAACTTTACGCAACAATTTTATCCTTGTATTTGCCTGGCTCTGTTAAACTCCCCCTTTTCACCTACAAATTTAACAAATGACTTAGCGGTTAACAAAGAAGAACAGAAACTGTGCTGCAAAATGCTCTACCACCAACTGTTTATAATCCAATGATTATTTACTAAAAAAACTGTTTGGTCTCAGAGTGGCCCTGTGGGGTTGGCAAGATTGGAACAAGATGCTGGAAAACAGAAACACTCTGCCAGACGTACTTTCTGCAGAAAATGCAAAGCAACAGAATTCATCAACAGAATGATGATGCACTTATTTATTTGATTTTTTTTTTCTCTGGAGGAGCCTAAATGTTTAGTGTACCAATATTTTCATCAGTGGCTGAATAGAGGAAAGGTACGCAGAAACATTGAGTGAGGGGTTCCTTTTATAGTAAGAGGGGGGAAAATATATATGAAAGTAGAACTACAGTGCAAGTGAAGAGATTAACTTCAATCGATACAGCTTTTTTGTAAGAACTGGATGTGTAGCACCCTCTGGAACAAGAAAAGACGGCATTAAAGGAGCTGAAAGTATTGTATCTCATTAATTGGTTAAAAGAAGGAAAAACCTTGTTAAAAATTTGAAAACAAATTTGCTTTACATTTGCTTTGTTGTGGGGATATGGTATGCATAGCACCTGTTCTGTTCTTAGCTTTGTAACTCTTTACATTTTATTTAACTTTTTTTACTTTAACTAAAAATACTATGTATGAGGTTGAAAATATAAGATTAAAAAAAAGGTATGACACTCTTCACAGGTATTTGACACAACCCCATTGATATAAACAACCCTGAAATGTTCTCTCAAATATATTAGCTTTCCTTCTCAAGTGGCATCCATTATTCAGATTTATCAAGAAAAATCATCACCATGTCTTCTAAATCTCTGAATAAAGAAAAAAAGTTTGAACAATATAGAAAAGGCGGTCGATCGGCATTATTAGCCGACACCATGGCCCTACTTGAAGGATGCAGACGAACGATGTCCTTCATGGTAAAGTCCCGACCCTGTGCGATTGTCAGCCAATCAGAAACTGATAACAGCACCAGAATCCAGGCCATGGCTGGCCAGGCCTCCATCATGTGTCTGCATCAACACTGCTGCCGTTGGAAGGCTTTAAAAGAAAGAAACGTGTATGTTATATTCATGCACAAGTTCAATGGATCACAGTTAAATTTGGCCTGGTTGATGACTTTATTTTGACACAATTGGATTACTGATGTTTTTTATAGGAGACACTTAAAGGTATAGTAGAGGATTTTTGCAAATTTTTGAAAATTTTCGCCCTCTCCACTTTTAAATAAAAATGCACATGCACAACTCTGTACCCACTCCAGAGAGGGAACTCGTATTAAAGCCATGCAAGAGCGTGCACGAGGAGAAATGGGCTCGTGCACGCTCTTGCACGGCTTTAATATGAGTGGATTAAAAGTTGCTATTTGCATCGCTCATACAAACGTACTTTTCAAAAGAAGATTTGCAAATTTTCCACTATGTCAGACTCACCATCTGTAAGTGAAAATGGTGACGAGCACATAGGACGTCCTTACGTAAACATATCACCAGAATGATTGACAATTAGGAGGACCAGTTATTTTGATAATCCACCCAGAAAAAGAAAATACTGCACTATACCCTTGAGCGAAAAAAAAAAAAAAAAACGGGAAACATTTATTTGAGCCTAGCGCTTGCTTTAGCTTCTTGGCTATTTCTATTTAATCCAATTTATTTATTTATTTTTTTAATTAAGCAAAAACATGATACCAGATAGATAATTTCAATTCAAAAAGTTATTTCTACTGCTGGTATGTAACATTATTATACTAATATGGATGTGATATTAACTTTTATTTTTTTTACTTTCGTACACATATTTGAGCAAAAATACAGAACAAATCCCACCTTTAGTAGTTTTTAATACTATTAAATTTTTATTTTTCCATTTCCAACTGGCTCTACTTGGTCAACAGGCTGATTTTACCTCCTATAGGGTTGAAAAAAGACAGTATCAGAACTGAGAAGGCAGTAATTGAAATGTCAACTGAGCACTGACTGAGCATATGCTTTAAAGATTTATGCATGCACTTGGATAATCTTAGCAAATAAATACAAAATAATGATAAAATAAAAGTACATTTTTATTTTCCACAATGAAATCTAAAGTATTAGTCTCTACTTACATATAGGGATACAGAGTAGTCCCCAACAAATGAACACTAAGAGATGTCAGCCACTGAATTAAACACCACCTGACCTGGTTTTACCCCCTTTTACTCAGTTAGAGCAGCTCTGAGATCAGATCGCTCTGACTTCTCTTTGTACTTTATCCCCAGGCACTGTGCCAGGCTGTGGGCTTATAAATGCTTGTTTTCTTTGCATTAAACATGCTCCAGTAAAACTGATCCATGCTATGGTCGAAACTAGAGCTCACATTTATTCTTATCTCTTTAAACGTAATCTGTATGTTACCAAGCTGCAAAGATAATTTAATTACATCATAAAGCTTCTAAAGCTCCACAATTATAAAAGGCAACATAACTGGATCAGAACTAAAGAAAAAAATTAAGTCAGGTTTATTTTTGTCAGTTTGTCATAGATACTTAAAATAGGGGAATCAAACACTTATGTTAGTCCAGTTTGCTGAAGGATAATTTAACTTAAATAAACCTGCTTTCAACCAAATTACACTCTTTGACAAGAACATACTGTCATGGTTGTGCTCTATGTGGACTTCTGTTTAAGTTAATTTTCAGGTTTTCAGTTCCGCTTTGATTTATGTTATTCTGTCTTTTCTTGTTCATTGTTTTTTTTTCAATATTTTTGTTATATTTAAAGTCGTAGGGAAATTATATTTAAATGTCAAATCATTCTGCCTTAAACATGTATATAAATGTACTCTTTATCAGACTCTATTGGCCCAAAAGTTAGAAAATTTCTATAAAAAAAAAAACCTGTCTTTAAACCTGTTTTTTTCCGTTATCTTTTGCCGGCCAGTTAATTATACATCAGCCTGAACACCTAAATTCGGCCAATCATACATCAACGGTCATCTGTCAATAGATTGTTTTGGTCATAGCATCTTGATTCAAATGTCGCAGCTAATATACGCAATGGTTAAAATAAGAATCTTTTTGAGTAGTGGTGACCGTTACAGGTGTATAGTTGGAGAGCAAATTGTTGACTGTTTCTCAGTTCACTAGAACGCGAGTACGGACTCGTGTCTTCGCCAAGTTTGTTCTTGAGAAGAACACAGGAAAATGTGGACTGGGGAAGAACGGGAGCACGCAGCATAAATATGGGTGAATTTGGAACGGAAACGTACTCGTGACATCACCACCCGCTAGGCTCGTCTGGAGCTGCATTTCGCCTCCTGTTATTAATAGTCTCTAGATAATAATACATTCAGACTTTTTTCATTTAGTGGGGGAATAATAATTAACAAAGTCAGATAAACACAAATGAATATTTTGCCAAATAAAACAAAAATATCGCCATCATAGCCAGTGGTACTTCACACACGGCTATGCCGACAGAGGGCTGCTGCAGACGGGCTGCGGTTACCCTCGGAGGTCCGCTGGTTGCCACGGTCACCTCAACATCGGAACTTTTTTTTAAATTACGCATTAAATCGGTAAATAGACCATAAAGTGATGCTTAAAAGTATAATATTCTCACCTCAAATGATCTTAAAACGTACTTTTATTGAACAACAGCAACAGAAAATGGAACATTTAACTTAATAGTCTTAGCTCTGTGAGCGCTCTATTGAATGGAGACGGAGGAGACTCATCCTCGACCTCCGACACTAAACTCTCCTCCTCTTGCATATTTCTGCTGTCCATAGCGTTCCTTGACGGTGTCGTTGCTAAGTCACCAATTTAGTGCCACTTGGTCCCAATGGAATTTCCCATTGGGACCCTACTAGCACTAAGTTGCTAACTGGTTAGCAACGATGTTTCCGAGAAACCGGCCACAACCAAACTTGCTTGCAAACCTTCCGCCACAACAATTCCGACCTCTTGATAAATGACCAATTAAATACGCTTTATTCACTCGTGTAAAGTCGTGCACCACCCGGGAGAATTCGGAACTGAAATGTTTGAAACAGCCGCTTCCCAACGACTTGAAGCAGTTTTAAGGAGTGTTGTATTTTTTGAGTTACTCTCTGTTGCCCCCTTGTGCTAGCCTTCATTCCTTTAGCCCCTTCTAGTTACTTCTGTCGACACCTGCTCCCTATCAGCTAATTAGTCCTCCTTTTGTTTCTGTCTCCTATGTATTCACCTTCTGTTCAGTTACAATTTGCCGGTTTCTTGTTGTTACATGGCTCCATGTGTGTTTTCCCTTGACCTCTCCTGGGTTTTTGTTTCCTGTATTTTGGTTCTTGGATTTTTTTTTTCTGTTGCATTTTTTCATTAAATCAGCAAAACTCATCTCTACATTTGGGTCCTCAACCAACCCGACACATACTAAAAAAACACACACATAGAGAATAAAATCAAACTGATGAAAGATGTTTAAATGCAAGCTAATATTCACATGCAATTTCAACCCGCTTCAAAACATAACTGGAAAAGGTTTTAAACTATGAGCCACAGGATGTTTTTATTTCTGTGCATTAATTTTCATGTAAAGTTCATTTTTTGGTTAGTTGGATATGGTAGTGTTATATTAACTAATACATTACATCATCTTGTTTGCATTCCAAATGTTTACCTATTATAGAAACAGAAACCAGAAAGATTGTTTTAAGTTATAATTTAGAAAAAAACTTTATATAATTTTTTTCGTCTAATCCTTAATGTTTGTTTACTCATCTAAGGGTTTTTCTCAAACCTTAAGGCACAAAACTGTTTTACAGAAAGAGTCTGACTTGATCTCAAAATTTAAAACTGAATTCCAAAATACACTTAAAGATGTTTTCATAACTGAAAAAAATCAAAGATATCACAATCAACCATTACTTGCCTTAAATTATTTTAATGTCTCCGTCTTAACTAATCTGAATGGTCAGCAATTATTCACCATAATTTTATTATATTATACAATAAATATTCCTGAAAATTAACATTTCAACATATGTCCATTAGATTATAGCACCCTTAAAAAACTAAACAACAAAAAGAAAAATGTTTAATTACATAGCACCAATTTATCACTAATTATAGAGTTCAAAAACATTTAATTGCTTCTCTTTTATGAATCTGAGACCATAATATCACACTCTTCTATAAAAATGTGTTTTTCCACATGTTAAAAATTAATAAACATGCAGACAATAAGATGTGGTGCCTAAATCTATTGTTCCTTTACCGTTACCCCCTCTCTTGCAGAGGTTCTGCTCTGGAAGCCAGGATTAATTAAATGATTATTTGAAAGGCCTCAGAGGTCTATTAATCTAAGTGCTTCCATTCATTCATCTAGCTTCTCCTGCCACAATGTTGCTGTAGAGCTCGAGATGAGATGTTTTACTGCTGAAAGGACAACTTGATTAAGTCTCCCTTCTTTGAGCGCCTTGGTTGGTGTCAGGCTTTCACTGTAGGGAAATCTTGTTTAAGTTGGAACAGAACAGAAGAGCAGAAGCACGATACAATAGCTTTCATTACGGCCAGAGAGGGATGAAGAAAAGGGTTTTATAGCAAGCAAGATTTAGTCAAAACCAGCGCCGTAATTAAAGGTATAGTGGAGGATTTTCATGAATTTCTGGATGGATCAGCCCTCTCCACTATAAAAAAAAAAAAAAAAAAACACATGCACAACCTTGTATCTGCTCCTGAGAGGGAACGCCTATTAATATAAAGAGAGCGTGCATGAGCCCATTTCTCCTCTGTTTAAAAGTTGCTGTTTGCATCAGTCATACAAGCTTTTCCATCATTTTTTCCCACCATATCAGACTCACCATCTTAAACTGAATATGGGGACGAGCATGTAGGACGGACTTAGGTAAACAAATAACCAGAATTATTGACAATTAAGAGGACCACTTATTTTGACGATCCACCCAGAAAAAGAAAATACTCCACTATACCTTTAAGCCATACCATACCAACTTTATTTATGAAGCACTTTATGCACCGGACAGGACCAAAGTGCTGTACACAATCATAAAATACAATAAAATTATAAAATAGAAAAAAAACGAGTGTAAAATACATATTAGTATACAAAAAGAATAAAACTAAGTAAAACCTCTCAAAAGATAAGTCTTAAGAAGGGACTTAAAAACAGCAAGGGAAGAGGCCTGTCTTATGCTCAGAGGCAGATCATTCCACAGCTTAGGAGCTGCCACAGAAAAAGCACGGTCCCCTCTGAGCTTGCATTTTGTCTTTGGGACCCTCAGAAGCAACTGATCAGCTGACCTGAGGGAACGGGAGGGTGTGTAAGAATGCAACAGCTCAGACAGATAAGAAGGAGCAAGGCCATTAAGAGTTTTAAAAACAAATAAAAGAATTTTAAAATCAATCCTAAAATGTACTGGCAGCCAGTGTAAGGAAGCTAAAACAGGGGAAATGTGGTCGAATTTCCGTGTACCTGTTAAAAGACGTGCAGCAGCATTTTGAACCCTCTGAAGTTGAGAAATATACAAATCACTGACCCCTGTATAAAGTGAGTTACAGTAATCCAGCCATGTGGTCACAAAAGCATGGATCACTGTTTCAAAATGTTGTTTAGATAGAATGGGTTTTACTTTGGCTAGCTGCCTTAAGTGGAAAAAGCTGGACTTTATAACGGCTCTGATGTGCACTTCCGTTTTAAGACCAGCATCCATCTTAACCCCTAAATTAGTAATAACCGGCTTAACATACTGAGCCAAGGAGCCAAGAGTTACGGAATCAGCAGTGGATCTGCAAAAGATCATTACCTCCGTCTTGTCTTCATTGAGTTTAAAAAAATTTAGGGCCACCCAGGCCTTCACATCTTCAAGACATAAAAACAAAACCGAAGAGAGATGGAGTTTAGTTGGTATAACTTTAAACGAAAAAAACGGGGCTTGTTTAAACACATTTATTTGAGCCTAACGCTTGCTTTAGCTTCTCGGCTATTTCCATCTAATCCAATTGGTTTTTAAAATTAAGGAAAAACATATGATACCAAATAGATGCTTTAATTTCAATTTAAAAAGCTATATTTACTGCTGGTGTGTAACATTATTATACTAGCATGGATGTTATTTTAACGTTTGTTATTTTAACTTTTTTTATACACATATTTGAGCAAAAATACAGAACAAATACTACCTTTAATAGTTTTTAATACTATTAAATTTTTATTGTTCCATTTCCAACTGGCTCCATGTCCTCCACTATACCTTTAAGGTGCGACAATAGCTGAATGAGTAGCTATATTAACAAAGAAGCCAGCATGTTGTAACATAGATTCTACAATCTATCCCAAAATATAAATCAGCTAAGAAATTAAAGTATGTATTATTTTACATTAATGATGCTCAAATAACAGGCGGACAACAGTTGGTGCAGAAAGAGGGACTTGCAAATACTCTTTCCTTCCTCCAAACTAGAACCCAGTAAAAAACACAATGACAGTATTGATGTTTAATTATCTCTACCTGTCAAAAGGAGGGATGTTGTGTTTTAAAAGGTAACTACCAGATTCCCACCCTACTGAAAGTGTAGATACCAGGTGACATTGGTTAATTCCATAGAAAGTAAACAGTTGAATCATAGTTTAATGTGTAGTTAGTGGTTGCTCCATTTAAAAGAGTGGGACCCCTATTGTTTTCCTGCTTCACTGATCCAGTACAGCCAATCCCACTAACATGCTTAACCTTCAAAGCTGACACAGACTCGCGTGTCAAAAGTGAGTGAACAAATCCGTTAGATGAAGCCTAACTGCGCCACATTGGTCATTGGTGTCAGAAGTAAACTCGGTCAAACATGCGACCACCGGGACCGACTTTGATGCTCGGCAGCTTTGCTCTGCAGACCAGACACACATGGCACAGGCTTAACTCCGGTCACACTGATCTTTTGTTTTCGTTTTGATCTCAGCCCAAAATTACTGCATTACAAAAAGGAAACAATATATAATATGCAGTATGCTAGCTAATTATCTGCCTCTCTGTATGCAAAAAATCCTAATATGAGTTTTTCTTCTTAGGCTTCATCATGTGGGGAATATTTAGTCATTTCATGACCAGAGTATTTATTGGATCCCCATTAGGTTCTGTTTATGAGGCATTTTATTTGCCCCTACAACAAACCACAGCATGAATCATATCCTGCCAACGCCGGATCAGTAAAACTGTAAGGTAACCTCGGCTGAAGAGTTATTGGGATGGAAACAAAGGATCCTGGTGGAGTCTGGCTCTAACACATGCTGAGCATGTCTGTCGTTACGTGGGATAGTTTCCCTGCTAGAAAATCAAACTCTGCACAAGTATTGGATGCTTTTGCTCTTTCTAAAAGGTTTTCTTCAAGAATTCCCCTTAATTTAGCCATATATATCCAAGATCCTTCCCTATCCCATTTTTAGTAAGGCGTCCCACAGCATGATGTTAACGCTGCCATACATTATGATGGGTATGATGAGTTAGGGTTGTTTAACTGATAAGAACAGATTATAAAGTTATTATTCTGGGGGATGGCCGTCTTAGCAGCACCATTTATATTAGTTTATGTTAATTATCTGGTTAGACTGCACAGACAAGACTTAAATGATTAAGCAGTTGAAGTCTGAAGTTTTTTTTTTCATCTTTATGTGAATAAATACACATGCATTTGACCTTTTAGGAGTTGAATTAGTAGAATGCAGTTCAACATGTATCATTTAGCCAGAAATTTTATATAAGGCCAAAAGCGGACAGGTGCTAGAACCTCAGAGTCCATCTACACAGTTCCAACAGGAAAATTAATGAGCAAAACATCCATATTTTCTAAATAAAGATTAACTATACTTTCCTACAGCCTTTGCTAACAAATATATGCATATATTTAAACATCTGTAATTTCTAGATAAAAAAAGGTATAGTGGATAAAACTCAGTTTTGAGATCTGGAGCATAAATCAGTCATCATCGTCATTAATTACCTACTTTATCAATAAACATTCTGCATAAAATTGATATTTACAAGCACTAATATCTACATAAATTAATTATTTGCTACATTTTTTTATTGTTATTTATCTTTGATTTCACTGAAGACTCCTAGATGACTTGCAGAGACACATAATTCTCTCTTTACCCCATATAACACAAAATCTAGTTCTGAAAAGAGCAGGAAGTCTGTATTTATCATCTCTGATGTTTATTGATGTGTATAATTATCTATCTAGCTCCGCCCCTGCATTTAGCCTCATCTTCACGATAAAGCTCTGTTTTGTGTTGTTCTATCAAATAAAATAACTTGCTGAAACCTCTGGTTGTAAATAGAGAGAGAAAAGTGTGACATTTTCCAGGGTAAGTGTGTTTTTAGTTGGTTTAAATCAAAGTTAACCTTAAACAGAGTCATGAATGTTCATACATTTGCCAAAAAAAAAAACAAACAAAAAAAAAACAAAAAAACAAAGCTGAAGCGAAAATTGCCACAAATTAATTAAAAAAAACAATCACAGCTTGCGTTTTTTAATAAGGATTTGACTGTTAATTAACAGAATTCTTTAACACTTTAACTGCAATGTTTAGAATGTCAGCAGCGCGCGCTCCAAATAAACGCGCGTTAATAACCGCAGATTGCGCAAAACTTAGCGGAAAAAAATTCACCTCAGCGTTTTTAACGGTTCAGGACAGCAACAGGAAAAGATTTAAGTATGGAACCTACCAAATCCAGTTCCTTTAAGGACCAACAGGAGACTCATCTGGGAGGAGATGAAGGAGGGAAAATGCTGCTCCGTGTGGATGTTGGATACTTTAGGGAAGGAAAGGCGCTGCGTCACAGACGCGTCAAACATTATTAACTCCCCTCTGCAAGAATGAAGCGATGCTTTTTATGTTTTTGATATATATTTAGTTAATTAGAGGAAAATATGGGTTTGCAATGATTTTTATCTGCTTTTAACTGCGCATGTTAAATGCATGCATAATGACAGTCACCTATAGGGCTTCACTCATTTACTATTTATGTCAACTTTATGAAGAAAAAATACAACATAATGAATTTTTTCCCCTCTAAATGGCTAAGAACATGAAAATGTTATAAGAAATTAAACAAAATGCTTATTTTTTCCCCAACAATATTTCATTTAATAAAAATAACTCATGAATATCTATAAATATGATTAAAAAATGAGAATGTATAAAGTATGACACAAAGTATTTTGATATATTTTATGTTTGACAGTTACTAAATGACAGTTAGTATACCAATTTAATAAATAATACAAAAAAAAATAAAGATTTAGAATTAGACAAATTCTGTCATTTTTGTATTAAAAACTAAATTTCTCAAAATTGAAATCAACATTAACATTTATAAAGTGCAGCAATGATCAAGAATGTAGACATTGTAGGAGAAAAAGTCATGGTGCATTGATATGGAAAGGTGCAAAATAAATATGGAGCAAAATGCAGTAGAACATTGACTGGCGTTCTATTTAAAGGGATTATGAGAAAAATATTGATAACTCTTTATGTTATTTAAGTATCCTGTCAAAAGCTGCAAAAATTCAGCTATTTTTTTCTGTTTTGATGTCCCAAGTTTAAGACAAAGTATTATGTTACTTGTTTACTTTGTTTTTGATTGATTAATATCTCTTTTAATTTCTGAAACCCTAATTTTAGACTTAAACTTAGACAGATTTTATTTTGTCATTTTGTACACACTAGTGGATACAAAAAAATTCATTAAGTAAAGCTCTATAGACTTTTTCATTTTTTTTTAAAGTGCAGCCTTGATAAAAGTAAGCAGCAGTGATCAAAAAATAATTAAAAAAACATTAATTTAATGGATAGTAACATTTTTCAGTAAAAGATAGTAAAAGTTGTTTTTTTTTTACATCAGAAAGGTCTGGGATCACATAAAAAAAAATGTTTCAGACAAATGTATCTCTGTTTCATACAGACATGCATCATTATCTGTTAAAGCAAATTAGAAGAAGACCCACCCTGAGCTAGTTTTTGATTCACATTCCTGGGGTGAAAGACTTGCAGCCAAGCCGTCATGTCCAGCTCCCATCAGATAAATGCGAAGGAGTCCATGTCTGAAAGGGGCCATACAAGAACTCATCAGTGACAGGCTGCAGCCCTCTGACCCTACTGGATATGTGATCCTTTGCTGGAAAGGCAAAGAAGAAGCTCCTCAGAGTCGTGTCAGACAGAGGAATTTCCGAGACCTGACCACACAGATATACAAACAGATGGTCTGTCCTGGGTGGAAGCACGTTTCGTTTATCCTGCAGACATGATATATGAGCATTACAAAGTGTAAATATAAAATCCTATTGATTCAGCTACATAATTCTGTGCAAGCTAAGAAGACACAAAAAAGCCCTATCTTGTGAAAAATAGCTTTAAACCTGTGTAATTTGATTAATATAAGGAGAAATGTATTTGTTTTTTTTTATTTTAATTCACTACAACATACCGCTCTAAGTAGCACAGTTAGCTTTAATTACAGAATATGCAGAAGAAAAGAAACCCCACAGCATGATTCTGCCATCACCAAAATTTGACCCTATAATTTGAGCGCATTAATATATATAATTTGATCTGAACCATTCTATTTTAACTCTAGCTATAAATGGCCTGTTAAAGGATTAGATATTTTCATGATACAGTTTGTTCACTAAACTCCTGGAATAAATATCTGAGGGCTTCACAGAACAGCTGTGTTTATCCAGACTTTTGACATAAATGTAAAAATAAGCTGATATGATGCAGTTCATTGATTGCAGTTGATTTTACTGGATTTAATTGGGATACAAATTTCCCAACACATTGTTTGCGGGATATATAATCAATATGTTTTGATACTGAAGTAAAAATTGTGACACTGAAATTGAAATTATGAATCTAAATGTTATACATGTCTATATCTGATGTGAATATTCATATTATAAAAGTCAAAACCTTTGGTTTGAATGTGGTAATTATGACTTTGACATTGAAATTATGACTCTTCAGGTCAAAATTCTGATTTTGATTTTCTCAATTAAGGTAATGGCTACATATCTTATCATTATAAGATACAGAATTAAATTTCAAATGACTTTTACAGTAAAATTAATAAAAAATAGAGTTAGTCTAAATGTTTTTTAAAGTCTATATCTCGTTATAACAATGAAATTGAAAGTTGGATCATAAATATTTGAAAGGGGGTATTTATTTTTACTTAAAAAGTCAAGAATAAATGTATTAGTTTTTTTTGCCAATATCATAAAAGTCTTATACAAAAGTTAAGAAAATTCGACACTTGGCCTGTAGGGGGCAGCAGCATCCGTTTACCGCCTCCCAGCTACCGTAAATCCCCCAAGAACAAAACAGAAGGTCGCCATCTTTGAAGGTAGCAGGAGACTCGTCACAGCGCAATATTTGAATCAAGTTTAGTTTAATTCACCGAGCACAGAAAGCTGCATGGCTAACAGAAATATGCAGCAAACGAGGATGCTGGGTGCAAACTCTCCACAGCCGGGAAGACGAGGGACAGACTCCCCGGCTTCGTCAGAACAGACGCCGGGGAACAAAGACAGCCCAGCCCCGCAGCAGCAGCAGTCTCCCCCGGCTGAACAGAGCGAAGGAGCCGCGGAGGAAACGGGGGAAGGCCCGTCCAAAATGACTTTCAACATTCTGAAGCCCGGAGAAAAGACCTTCACCCAGCGCGCCCGCCTGTTTGTAGGCAGCCTGCCGCTGGATTTCACAGAAGAGGAGTTTAAAAACCTGTTCGCTAAATACGGGAACATTAGCGAGGTGTTCTTCAACAAAGATCGGGGATTCGGATTCGTTCGTTTGGTGTGTTCACATCTGTTCTTCTCTGCTCTAGTTTCTTAGTGCTCAATGAATATTAAGTTTATTTCACATTCAATGTATGAGGTCAATATTTGAAGTTTAATGGTGTGCTGGAGCAAATACAGGATTTTAAAGGCAGCATACTTTAATTGAACAGGTTGAAACCTTCATTCAATTTAGTTTATTTACAACACATGTCATCTTAAGTTACTTTATAGTTCACCAGATCATTCATTCGAATTGATTTAAAGTTTTCTATATAAGAAAAACCAGTTGATTGCATCGACTCATTGACTGGAAGGCAATCCCTCACACTAAGCATGCTTGTAGCGACAGTGGAGAGGAAAAACTCCCACAGCAGTGTGTCGCAGTGAGCTTGTCGCAGGTATGACGCAGACATTTTTGATTTATGCTCAATAAAAAAGCGTGGTCTGCGCTATGTTTAGTCCACGCCACAACGGAAAAAGGGAACATCACAAACTGTGTGTCTAGGTAAGGCTGAGGCGGTGAGGAAGTGGGGGCAAGTTTGTCCGACAACGGAGGGACTTAAGGGTGAAAAAGAGCGGGGATCAGGGTGGAAAAAGGGTCCCAATGTTCTCTTGCACCTCGCTTTTCTTGCTGGTCCAACTTCACAAGTCGTTTTCCGTAATGGCGGTCATACGAACAAAAGAAGGCGGTAAGGTACCAAACAGGAAATACGCATGAGTAGAGCGTATGTAGATTTAACCAATCAGAGGACTCCTGTCTGTGGCACTACAATTTGGGAGAGGTGAAGCAGAGTGTCTTGACACTGACGACCTACTTTCGAAATATAAATCAGCCTTTAGAATTGTCGAGAGAAAATGATGCACTGGTTTTAGAAAACCTTGATATCTACTAACTGCCTTCAGAAGTCACCGACCCCTTCCGTCACAGGTCTCATTTTGAAGACCAATGAACCGAGCATGACAAGTCCAAGAGAAAGAAACTCACAAGAAAACCTGTAATAAGATTTCCACAAAGCATCAGGTGGACAGAGATGACATGCAGAAATGCTCTGGTCAGATTAGACCAAAATGTCATTTTCTTGCTTGCATGCAAAAATTATTATGAATCTGACAGTCCCAATCACCCTAAAGCCGGGCGTACATTGTTTAAATTTTTTTTACAATCGTTGCACGCAGCTGCAGCTCACACTGTACCCGGCGGTTTCGTCATAAAGTGTGAGTTCACAGCTCACAGTGTATGTGCAACACGATGCTCTGATGCGATCTACCTGCTCACACTGTACGTCTAAAATCCACGTCGGACTCAGCTCCGCAGTGAGATAGAGCTGCTCTGACTCGTCTCTCTAGAAGCCAAACCAGTAGAAGAGGAATTTGAAGCTCACTACAGAGAAATGCACTGCCTTGGCAATTTTGCAATTTTGTGCTGAAAGCCCTAAAAAGAAAAGGAGACAAATTTGGACAAATACAGGGCTTAGCAAATGTGGCTACTACAGTCTGTCAATTTTACAGACAGGACTCCATTTCCCTCATTGCACCCCCACCATGTTTTTGCGTTTACATCTGAGAGGAAGAAGAAAAAGAAGAATTCTTGTTTGCGATTTGCCCACAACGATCAGGAGAAAATCAAACCTGGTTGATTTTCTCCTTACATCACAATTCCTGATCAGCAGGTGGTCGGGAGCGGCTGATCGCTCCTGGTTACCATCTGTACACTACACGACGCACAATCAGGCTAAAAGTCGGCCTGATCCGAAAATTCTTGCACGACTGGAAAGTCGCCCCAAAAGGAGTGAAAAAATCGCACAGTGTAAGCCCGGCTTAAAATGCACCTTTCTTGTGGGGAAGCATGGTGGTGGCCTAATCATGCTGCGAAGAACAAGGACTGGGAGGCAGGCAGGGATGATGGATTGAGTTAAATAGATAAAAATCTTTTTTGTTTTGTTTGTCCAGCATTTTATTGTCATTACACTGTCACAAGTACAGAGGAACAAAATGAACTCTTTAATTTAACCCATCCACTTGGGAAGCAGTGGGCTGCCATCATGCAGCACCTGGGGAGCAGTGCAGGGTTAAGGGTTTAGCTCAGAGACCCAGAGTGGCAGTCTGTGGGAGTGGGGCTCGACTCACATCCTCATGATTCCAAGCCCTAACTACTAGGCCGCTGTCCTGTCAGATCAGCATGCCCTATCAGACCAGCATACCCATAGTCATGTGGAAGATGTCAGATTTGCATTTATCCCTTTAGTTTTGTCCGAAAAATAAACTTTACCTCAACGGACCTGTATCCCTTAAGTCATGTACAAAAAACAATTTAAGGTAAATTGCCACACGCTTAAAAAAAAAAACCCAAAAAGTAAGTAATTAGTGTTTTTTGTACATGACTAAAGGGATACGCGCCTGTTTAGGTAGTTTAAAGTGTAGTTTTTGTACAAAACTAAAGGGATAAACGGGTATTGACTATGGGTAAGCTGGTGTAACACCGCCTCTCCCCCTAGAAGAACATGGAACAACTGGAGGATTAAATCCTTCATGCTAGTTTTTTTTTTTTTTTTGCAGGAAAGCCGAACACTGGCTGAGATTGCGAAGGTGGAGTTAGACGGAACGGTAATAAACAACAGATCGCTAAAGGTCCGCTTTGCAACACATGGAGCTGCCCTCACAGTCCGCAATCTGTTGCCAGTAGTGACTAATGAACTCCTGGAAGAGGTATGTTGGAGGTCAACCGGGGCTCTTAAAACATTGATTTCTGTGCAATAATTGAAAACCAATCTTGGTTTATCCACAGGCTTTCAGTCAGTTTGGGCCTGTGGAGCGGGCTCTTGTTGTGACAGACGACCGCGGCCGTTCCACTGGGAGAGGGATCGTTGAGTTTGCGAACAAAGTGGCTGCTCGTAAAGCCCTGGAGCAATGCAACGAGGGAGCAATGCTGCTAACTACGTAAACAAAGCTTTTTATTTATGCTTGCTTTTAACTATTAACCACTATCAACACATTTGCATAATAGTGCAACTTTTTAGCAACTTGAATTTTATGATTTTTTTCTGCAGTAGATAATGGAAAGCTTTTACAACATTTATTTAAAGCAGTGCAAACTCTGCAACTTTCTTTACCCACAAGCTATCTTGAATATCTATGGTCTAGGATCTTTGCCGAATCATTAAAGTCCACATAGAACATGCAGGACATTTGACCCCGTACCTAACAGATCTTATGTTACCGGCTCAAATTAAACCTTTTTTATTAACATTGATAATCATAATATTCCCCTTCTGTTTACTGAGATCTTGTTTCTGTCAGGTGTATCTATTTAATTAGTCGAGTGTGGTAACAGTTGCTATTCTTCTGAAGAGATGAGCTACACTCTATTTCTGTATTTCATTATTATGGCTTACAGATAATAAAAAAATCTAAATATAATTTTATTAAAAAATCTGAATATTTAACAAATTCAATGCAAAAAGGATATTTTAAATTGAAATAGTAGATTTCTGAAATGCATATGGAGCCTTGTTTTGCACGAATGACTTCAATCAGTGCTTCTTGGCACGGATATGATCCGGCTGTGGTTCTGCAGAGCTGTAATAAAATCCCAGCTTTCATAGAAACTTTCAGAACATCTGCACTGAATGGAGCATTCCTTCCCTCACTGATGGTGGTTCACATTTTTCCTCCAGTTTTTCCTTCCACTCAACTTTCTGGGAATATTCTTGCATATAGCTCTGCATTGACTACTAGCTTCCCCAGTAATGATCTATTGCACCCTGCAGGGTGTCAGTCACAGTCCTCTGAACTTCTGTAAGATCAGCAGTCTTATTAAGGCCTTTAAAAATATGTTTTCGAATTGTTAAAGGCCTTAATAAGTTCAATATCTGTCTTCAAAATTAAAAGGAATGGTTTCATGCTAAGTGAAATAATTAGATGTACCTGTAAACCTAAACAGCTTCTGTTTGCTCCTATCAGCACTCCATGTCCTGCCATTGTTGAACCCATGGAGCACTTGGATAATGAGGATGGTCTCCCTGAGAAGCTGCTGCAGAAAACTCCAAAGTATTACAAGTAAGCTGACTTTTTCTTTTGATTTATTTATTATTTATGTAGCATTGTTGGTAGTTATATAATTGCTCGTCTATCAGGGAGCGGGAACAGCCGCCCCGGTTTGCTCAGCCGGGCACCTTCGAGTTTGAATACGCGTCTCGCTGGAAAGCTCTGGACGAGATGGAGAAGCAGCAGCGAGAGCAGGTGGACCGGAACATCAAAGAGGCCAAAGAGAAGCTGGAGTCGGAGCTGGAGGCCGCCAAAAACGAACACCAGCTCATGTTGATGCGACAAGGTATGAGACGGGCGGGCGGGGGACATTTTTTTCTGCGTTTCCGCCGATTTAGCTTTTTGATATCTTCCTGCTCCTCCTTCTCAGATCTGATGAGACGTCAGGAGGAACTGAGGAGGCTGGAGGAGCTCCGCAACCAGGAGCTGCAGAGGCGAAAGCAGATAGAGATGAGGTGTGTTTCCTACCTGTTCACAAACTACCAGAGGACCATTAGAAGCATTTTAAGAAAAGAGTTAGATTCTAATATTATCTGATAATTGTGTTGTTGAAATTGATCGGTCTGTGATGTGGTTCCCATGTCCTCAGGCACGAGGAGGAGCGGAGGAGGAGAGAGGAGGAGATGATGAGACACAGGGAGCAGGACGACATGCGGCGCCAACCAGATGGATTCATACCAAACTACCACGACAACGTGAGTACTGATGGAGAACACTTTGATTTGGTCGGTTCTGACTGTTGAATCGTCTGCCTGCTTCATTTATATAAGAGTTATATTCTATAGGATGTTTCAGGTTAATCTTGCTGCATAATAAACAGCTTTTTTTATTTGATAAATACTGTTTTGCTTCTATAGATCGCCTAAGTTTTAAGATTTAAAAAACTACAAACCACATGACTAAAACACCTTCTCTGGTATTTAACTGTTCATACAAGCTGATGATATTATTTTTTTAACCATAACTTATTGAAAGCCTTATTTGGATACCTTTCCATCAACTGTGGGGTTTGTGGGTTTCTGTATTTATCGACTAAAATTTCTACTGATTGTATTTGAGCTCATCCTCAATCCATATTCTGGATTATCTCCTATGGAGGAGGCTCAGTGGAGACACTGCGTGGTTTACGTGTACAGTTTTTTAAACTTAAGGTAAAACCGGGGGAAAATTCCCAAAACAGAAAGTTTAAAGCTTTAGTTTTATACAGAGGTATACCTTTTTTTTTTTTTTTTAAATCTTGAGATATAATTTTAATACCTTTGATGGAAGAGCCTGAATGTTTGTGAGCCGCCTTCTGTCACTGGCATCAATTATTTCACTGATATCTTTAGTGAAATATTAGTTGCCAAAATGTTCTGTTGTTAGATAAAAATAAAGGATTACAGAAATAAGTGGGGAAGACTAAAGCTTTTCCTGTTTGTAGCGTAATTTTAGTATAGAGGAATTGGTTGTGCAGCATCTTTCAAAACAGCAATCATCTGCCAGATGCACAGAAAACTGGAGATTGCAGCTTAAAGGTCCTGCAGCTTCTAATGCATGGGTAAAAAAAAAAGATCACTGTATGATCATCATTACATCTGGTGATGTCACAATTATTATAATATCCTAATGAATGGCTCATTTTTATTTCTAGAATGAGTCCATGTGATGCAGCAACTCAGGTTCTCTGATTTTTAGGCATTCTTCTCACCCAGTCTGTTGTTGATCCGATCTCTGGTGAGGTCTAACATTGTTTTTTAGTGATTTTATTAAATAAAAACTCTATAATAAAAAAAAAAAAATATATATATATATATATATATATTGAGTTTTGCATCCTACTACCTGCCATAAAAAGGATGTTGGAAAGCTGTGCTGCAGTCGATGTAATGGTTATGAAGGGTTTAGACCATTGTTTTACTACTGGATCCAAAACCAGGGTTGCTTATGTAAAGCACATCCTCTGCTTTCAGCTTCACTGATCTCTAAACATGGATCTACAGTGACTATAAAGTCCAAAATAAAGCTATACAGCGTGAAATCAAACCAATAAGCTGTATTCTCCCTATTTTTTTCTTAAACCTCCATAGATAATGAAAGTGGAAGTTTATTTTTCGTTTATTTACCTTTAATGTTTTCAATAACGCTAGCTGACTATTGTTTGATTCAAAGAACACGAGAAGCCCATCTTCAACGTGTTCATGAGACATTAGATTACGTTGTCGTATATCTTAGAATTAACTGGAAATATAACTTGTAAAACGGGAGCATTTGAGCTTAAAGCAGAAAGAAGAAAAAAATGTATTCAAGCATTTAGAAATATTTAGCTTAGTACTGTCATTAAACTCCTTTTATTTTAGGGATCAGATAAAAAAAAATCTGCCTTCTTTCTAGGATAGATTTTCTTCTTTAGATTTCTACCCTGATGATTAGAAATTAACGTCAAAAATGCATCGTGCTCTTGAAATAAAGTTAATGATTAAAACAAATATAATGTAGGAAAATATCTAAATGGGTATACAGCAAACATTTTTTATTTGTTGCGTGTGTGTGTGAGAGGGAGGTTAATCCACAACTCTTAAATATTCCTGAAAAGTGCAGAAGGACTTCTCCATCTTTTAGGACACTTGCATTTACAATCAGCTGTTACTCCAGAACAACCACCAGGGGGCAGACGTGAACAGATGACTGACCAGAAATCTTTTATGCTTTTATTTTTCTGTTTTTTTACACTAAATTATTAAACATGGGGATTGTATAAATATTTAAGGGCAAATAAGATTTTCTAGCATATGGTTTTGTTGCAGCAAGTGTTTAATACCTGATAAGAATTCATAAATTTGGTTAATTTATGAATTCCTATCCAATTCTTCAGCAGTTGATTATTTCTTCCACTTGATATTTACTTTGATATTTAAATTTTATTTTACCAATCAAAATATTATTTCTAATGGTCTTAATTTTTAATTTAACTCATACAATATAACTTCATTTTATACCTCCATCTAAAGCTTTTCTGTGTTTATATCGAAATATCTAAATTCTCCATATACTCTTGAAGGTGTGGAAATCACATTTTTTTTATATCTTATTAAGTTCAGCGTAAAGTTATTGTTTTGTTTTTCATTATTTTGATCGTTCTATTAGCAATCATTTTGATGATTAGTTCAAAGTTAAAACAAATTGGTTTTATTCACATAAATGTCCCAGTAAGGATGCAGCTGTTTTCTTAGCTGTGCTTCATTTTAGTGTTTACTATTGATCACTATTAGCTGCAGTAGACAAGGTAAGTATAATAGATTACACACATGGCTTATTTTTAATGCAATTTATTATATCAACAGTAGATTTGATCCAGATCGGTATATTGTTGTTGATGTTTGTTTTTAACCGTCTATGTTTTTGTGGATTTCCAGGTTGGGGGGTATATTTATTTAGCTTCCTTTTTATTTGATACTTCTCGTAATGAATAAATAATTAAACAACAGAAGATGAACCAGAATCTAAAGCATACCTAAAACAGTTTGGTGTATCTATTCTCTGCATGCATATATGTGAGAGCAGAGATTGAACTGTCGCTTGTATTAACTTGGGATGTCCTGATACAACTATTTGATTTTCAATACGATACAGATGCTGCAGCTTTGAGAATCAACCAATACGGATATTGATCCGATATCATCTTGAATCATACCAGCTTTTATTATTTTATACTGTGGAACGTTAGAAAAACATTTACTAAAACAGGGAAGAAAAGTCTACAAAAAAACATTGACCCGTTTAACATAAACCTTAAAAGTTTTTCTATCAGCATAAAAACATCTGAGATTTTAGATGCTGGCCGATGAAATCCGATCGTATTTTTTTTGTGGTTTTATCGGACAATATCCACTAATATCGGATCGGTCATCCCTAGTATTAACAGATTCTTTTGGCTGTTTGAGCACATTTTCCTGCCAATGTGATACAACTTAATGCACAGATTGGATTAACAAGAAACAACATGATAACTGAAGGACTAAGAATTAAATCTGAGACTGTCCTTCTACATTATTATCACCAACCTCAATGTTCTTTCTTTGCCTCATGATACGGCTGCAGTTTCTTTAGCACATGTTTCTACTGCTTCTACTTCTTTTTTATTATTTTCCAGTTAGATATAGGGTGTATATGGTTCTAACCCATGCATTTTCATCTAGCTAATCTGTTCTATTTAAAGGAGCACCACTTTAGCAGCTGTAATTTCCTTTATTTTTGCTGATTGGTTGATACTTATATTTAAAACCAGTCTTCTCTATTTTGTCTAGAAACCTGTAAATAGTGCGTCCATAGTTCTGTTCTGTCCTTCAAAAGGTGAACCTCCGTCCCAGTCCCAAATCTTTCTCAGCCACTAACTGTCTTCCAATCAAATGTGCCCAGTTTCCCTGTTCCTGCTGAAGAAAAGCATTCCCACTACATGATGCTGCCACCCCCGTGCTTTACAGTGATGATGGTGAAGATTTAGTTCTGCTTCTTAATTCCTGAAAGTCTCCATTTTGGTCTTACTCAACCAGAGCAACTTTATTCACATGCTTGCTGTGTCATCTACATCACCCCCTTACCAAACTGCAAGCTGGAAATGACTTCCTTTAACCAGTGGCTGTCTTCTTGCTGCTACTCCAGACAGGAACTCATTGACCCACATCTGTCCACCTGAAAAATGGATCTCTACAGCTCCCTCAAAATCCCTATTGGCCTCTTGGCTGCTTTTCTGGTTAAACCTTGACGGCTTTAATGTGACAATTTATCAAAACAAGTTCAAAAACAGTGTAAAAGGCATGTTTCTATGATTTATTTTTCTTTTATAACGTATTTACTTTTGCAAGTGTTTCCCTGACGGCCATCTCCACTGAGAGCAGTAATATGGAAACTGTCTGATTTTGTAATTGCGTCTTTAAAGTCGTAGGGAAGTCATATTAAAATTCTGGTTTAAACATGTATATAAATGTACTCTTTATCAGACGATATTGTCCTTAAAGTTAGAAAATTTTTCTTTAAAAAAAAAAAAATCCTATCTTAACATCTGTGTGGGGGTTTCATTATTTTATGCAGGCCAGTTAGTTATACGTCAGCTTGTACACCTAAATTCCGCCTACTATATATTACAGTCATCTGTCAATCAAAATTTTTCGATCATAGCATCTTAATTCAGATGTCGCAGCTAATATATGCAACGGTTCAAATAAGAATAATTTACTTTCCCATTGAGTTCCGTCCCAGTGTTTACGGGGATGGACGTCTGTGTCTTCAGCAGGCGTAGAGCTAACAGAACTGGCAGCATTGTG